TTCCTTCTCTCATTGCAGTGGGTTTCATTATTTTCTCTCTCTCCAGACTGACTTCCTTTCCTTTCTCAGCCAATATGGCAGAATATGGCTGCCCCACAGCTCCTAAATTCTATAGTGCATTTCCAGCCACCTGCAGAGACTAACGCATAGACTCTAGGTCTTAGTTCCTCAGGTTTGGTCAAGTGTTCAGTCAGCCTGTACCAGTGAGCTATGACCTGAGAGTACAGATGTCCAGTACAAGTATGACTACTTATGATTCATGGAATTTGTGAATAGGCAGACACCCAAAAATGTGGTCTACATACACACTGCATAATTTTCCTAATACCTTACAAGGTAGGAAATTCTTTCTAATGAATTTGGAGCCTAGAAAGATTAAATAACTTACCCATGATTGCACAGCACGTAAGCTGTGGACCCAGAACTTAATTATCTCTGACTCTAAAATCTTCTGCTGTTACCATTAACTCTCTACTTTCTTTTTTTAAAACTTATTTATTTTTATTTAGATATAATTGACATATAACACTAGTTTCAGGTGTACAACATAATGATTTGATATTTTTATATATTGTAAAATGATCACCGTAATAAGTATAGTTTACATCCAACACCACATGGCTTATAAATTCTTTTTTAATTGTGATGAGAACTTTTAAGATCTACTGTCTTAGTAACTTGCAAATATACAATGCAGTATTATTAACTGTAGTCACCATGCTGTACATTACATCTCCAGGACTTAACTTGATAACTGGAAGTTTATACCTCTTCACCTCCTTCACCCATTTTGTTCCCCAACCCCCACCCGCTTGCCTCTGGCAACCACCAATCTGTTCTGTGTTATCTATGAGTTCAGTTTTCTGTTTGTTTAGATTTCACATATAGGTGAGATCATACGGTATTGTCTTTCTCTGTCTGACTTATCTCACTTAGCAGAATACCCTCACCCTCTATCCATGTTGTCGCAAATGGCTAGAGCTCTTTCTTTTTTTGTGGCTGAGTAATACTCTACTGTATAAATCACATTTTCTTTATCCTTTCATCCATCTCTGGACACTTACGTTGTTTCCATGTCTTGGCTATTGTGAATAATGCTACAATGAACGTGGGGGTGCAGATATCTTTTTGAGTTAGTGTTTTGGTTTTCTTTGGATAAATAACCAGAAATGGAATTGCTGGATCATATGGTGGTGCTATTTTTAATTTTCTGAGGAACCTCCATACTGTTTTCCATAGTGGCTGCACCAATTTACAATTCCACCAACAGTGCACAAGGGTTCCCTTTTCTCCACATCCTTACCAACACTTATTATCTCTTGTCTTTTTTATCATAGCCATTCTAATGGGTGTGAGGTGATATCTCATTATGATTTTGATTTGCATTTTCATGATGATCAGTGATGTTGAGTTCCTTTTCCTGTACCTGTTTACCATCTGTATATTTTCTTTGAAAAATATGTATTCAGAACCTCTGCCCATTTTTTAACAGGATGGATTTTTTTGTTTGTTTTTGCTAAGAATTGTATGAGTTCTCTATTTTGGATACTAACCATTTATCAGATATATGATTTGCAAATATTTTTTCCCATTTGGTGGGTTGCCTTTTCATTTTGTTGATAGTTTTCTTTGCTGTGCAGAAGCTTTTTAGTTTGATGTAGTTGCCCTACTTTTTATATTTTTAATGCCATAATTTTTCTTTTTTTATCTTGTGTATCTACTAACAAATTGTTGTAGTCATTTATAAGTGATTAACCCACCACCTTTATAACATTATTCTGAGTTTTGCTATATTTTTACCTTTACCAGTGAGATTTATAATACTTTCATATGTTTTCCTGTTACTAATTAGTGCCCTTTCTATTCAACTTAGAGAAGTGCCTTTAACATTTGTTGTAAGGCTACCTATCTAGTGGTGATGAACTCCTTCAGCTTTTGCTTGTCTGGGGAACTATTTGTTCTTCAATCCTGAAGGACAGCTTTGCCAGGTAGAGCAAACCTGGTTGGCAGTTCTTTTGTTTCATCACTTTGAATATATCATGCCACACTCTTCTGGTCTGCAAAGTTTCTACTCCAGAATCTGCTGATAATCTTATGGGAGTTCTCTTGTATGTAATAAGTTGTTTTGGTCTTGCTGCTTTTAAGATTTTCTCCTTGTCTTTAACTTTTGACAATTTAATTATAATGTGTCTTGGTATGGGTCTCTTTGGGTTCATCTTATTTGTAATTCTCTTGGTTTCCTGGATCTGGATGTCTGTTTCCATCCCCAAGTTTGGGAATTTTTCAGCCATTATTGCTTCAAGTTAAGTTTTATGTCATTTTCTCTCTCTTATCCTTCTGGGACCCCTATAATGAGAATATTGTTCCATTTGATGTTGTCCCTTAAGGTATGTTCACTCTTTTTCATTCTGTTTTCTCTTTGCTGCTCTGATTGGATTAATTCCACTGCCCTGTCTTCAAGTTCGCCGATCCTTTCTTCCACTTCATCTACTCTGATATTGAACCCCTCAAATATGTTTTTCAGTTCAGTTATTGTATTCTTCAGCTCTGTGACTTCTGATTGGCACTTTCTTATATTTTCTCTCTCTTTGTTAAAATTCTCACATTGTTCATGCATTGTTCTCCTGATCCAGGAGAACATCTTTCTGACTGTTATTTTCAACTCTTTATTAGGTAAATCACTTATCTCTGTTTCATTAAGTTCTTTTGCTGAGATTTTATCTTGTTCTTTCACTTGGAACATATTCTTTTATTTCTTCGTTTTCCTTGACTCTCTGTGTTAATTTCTATGCATTAGATAAAACAGCCACCTCTCCCAGTCTTGAAGGAATGACCTTGTGTAGGAGATAAACTTTCTTTTAGCTAGTTGTTTTTTTTTTGAGGAGGAGGAGGATTAGCCCTGAGCTAACTACTGCCAGTCCTCCTCTTTCTTTTGCTGAGGAAGCCTGGCCCTGAGCTAACATCCATGCCCATCTTCCTCCACTTTATATGTGGGACGCCCACCACAGCATGGCATGCCAAGCAGTGCCATGTCCACACCCGGGATCCAAGCCAGTGAACCCCAGGCCACTGAGAAGCGGAACGTGTGCACTTAACCACTGCACCACCGGGTTGGCCCCTTAACTAGTTTTTTAAAAGGTATTGAGAGAAAATGTCAAATTTCATTCAGAGAGTGCATTTCCCTTATTAATGCTTCCTAGATGCCATTGTTATCTTTGCTTGTTAAGTATCCTAGGAATTGTACAGCATTTGGTCCTTTTAGGGTAAGCATTTCTGTGAACTCTTTCCCTTATTAAAAGGCTACTTGATAAGTGCCCTTGAACCCAACCAACGTAACACATTAAGCTTGCTCTATTTCCCGAGTGCAATTTTCCTTCTTATGACAAAGAGCACTAACTGCCAAACATTTCCAGTTTATTCTGATGGAGAAGATTGTTTCTTCACCGATTTAGTCTTACATAGGAATATATTAGATTTACTAGCTAATTATTAGTCACATTCAACATGACTCTGAATTGGTAAAAATATAAAACACTATGATCTTCTAAAGAGTTATAGCATTATGAAAATGCTTCTCTTGAGTTCAGTTTTCATTGTTAAAATGTGAAATTTAGAGTAGTTTATGGTGCCTTTCTTCTACAAGTCTTATAAAATAAATAGACACAATTCTTAAGAAAATTTAGAGTGAATTCTGGATTCCAGCAAAATAATCCTGTCATGCCAGTAAGCATCAATCTTCAGCTAGCTAAATAAATCCCCATATATCATTCAGTCATATAAGGTTTTAGTCAGTCAAATGCAGTTACAAAGAAATTTCAGTATCCAAAAATACACATACTCAGCCCATGTGACATTGTGCTGTGGGAGTCATTTTTGTGGAATATAAAACGAGTTTTCCCTGGAAGGAAATGTGCTTGTTATAGAGCATAATTCACTTGTATCCAACTTTTAAGTTCTTAAATGTAATATTTTTTTCAGAGTTTAGCAGACAAATGAAAGTAAAAAGCATCAAGGTTGAATATCTGAGACTGAGAAAACTGCTTTATATTTGCAAGAGTCTCATGTCACCCCCCCTTAGCTGTCACCCATGGTGACAGCTCCCCTCTCTTACTCCATCCAGAGACAATGTGAGGAAACTCTTCATAGTGAAGCGTGCTGTTTAGATGGTCAGTGTTCTGAAGTGTTTTCGGAGTTGAGACTAAATACAGTCCTGAGGAAAAAATGAAATCTTTTCTCTGGGCATATGTTTATTGATCTTGTGGTTTAACAGAAGGAAAATGTTGACAGAAACACCTGGAAATCACTGATAACCACAGGGTTTATGACAAATTTTTCTTTGGTCTTTAGCTAAAAATTAGGCTTAAAGGCCAAAGTGACCCGAGTACTCTGAAAATATCCTATACTGCTTTGGTGTACTCAGGATTTTCTTAGAATAGTATCATGCCTGGCCAATTGGTGATTTCATAATGGGAGTTAACAAAGAGATTGGGTTATCGAGTCCCATAATAGACCTTTGGCCTAAACTCAACATTGTATTCACAGCTTGGAATACTGTGCCCTGAGAGAAGGTTGTTTAGCTGTGTTTCAAATCACAGAAATAGGGATAGTCTTATGATCTTGTGTCTTATTAATCATAAGAAAAATGTCAAAAAAAAAGTGTATAGGTTGCTAATAGACTCCCAATTTATAAACAAAGGTCAATTAATAAAATAAGAACTGTTTGTAATATAGCATTAAGCAGCAATTTTAGATTTAACATATTTTACCCAGATTAAAAACTTTCTTGGTAAAGGTGGTATTATTATTATTATTATTTTCCTTTACTGTCATCCACTCTAGAATTAATTTGGATTGATTTAAAGTGAAGGCTTCAGCCTCTTCCAAGGGACTGGGGAGGATGGAGGATCTAAAGTGTTTAGAGCCAGTGTTCCTGGTTACCTGCCTGGCTGCATTTTGCTTTAAGCATTAACATGGTTTGTTTCCAATTTTCTTTGTTCTAGTCTATGCAAGGGAAACTGTCTAAAGAAAAATTGACCACTCAAAAGATGATGGAAGAACTGGAAAAGAAAGAAAGAAACCTACAGAGATTAACAAAAACATTGCTTGATGTGAGTAGAAGATATTAAAATTGCTTTGAAAGGATGATTCCATACCTATTTAAATTAAAGCAAATCTTATTTTGTGCATATTCATAGAACATTAATTGACGACTTGATTTTGCTGTGCTGGTTAATTAAATACATTAGATTAGGCTAACTAACCTTATAATCGAAAAGACAAACTTTTATTTTCTTATGTCTTAGAATACAGTTTTGCAGACTTAACTACAGCAAACTCAAATGTCCTAGAGAGATTAGGTCCTGAAGGCTTTGAATAAGGCATAAATTGAATAGAAACAAAATTATCCTTGTAAATCCTTAGGGAAGGTGCAATTTTGATACTTCATCATTGGAACAGATCACACTTTCTTCATTTAATTATGAGATGAAATACTTGGCTTGCATTTAAGGACATGTTATTAAAAAAAATACTTATTTTCGTTTTTTAACTGTCATCATGACATTTTGCCCCTCAATACTTAAGAATGCATCTCCAAAAATTGGGGACATTTTCCTGTATAACCATACCACCATTGTCAATGTGCAATAAAAATAATATTCCTTGATACTTGATAATACCTACTCTCCAGTAAAATTTCCCCACTTCTTCCCCAAATGTTTTTTATAGTGACTGGTGAAATCAGTATTCGATCAAGGACCATGAGTTGCATTTCATTTTGTCATATAAATCTGAGGTCCCTTTGTTCTCCCATGTTAGAGACATTTTGACGAAACTGGGCCTGTTGTCTTACAGACTTATAGATTGTCAGACCATTTAAATTTGTCTAATTGCTTCTTTGTGGTGTCATTTATCTTGTTCTCTACCCCAGCTGTTTCTTGTAAACTAGAAGTTAGAGCTAAAGTTATCATTACGCTCAGATCAAACATTTTTTGGCATGAATGCTTGGTGTTATTGACATCATCAAATTATATATGTTTGGTTATCCCACTGTAAGTGACACAAATATTGATCTCACTGGGTTTAAGATGGTGACACACTGATTCTTTCATTGTTACGTTATAGCCTCTGCAAACAGCAAGTCATCTGAGCGGTGATATGTAGGCGACTGTGTGAATATGCAGTTTGCCAGCACCCTTTACCTTGATGGGTTTAGTATCCACTGATGATCACTGTCTGAATCATTAGAGGATTAAACAAATGGGTTTTTTTTCCTGATTACATAATTTCATTTACATTTATTAGCTGCTATTCATCTATAAAAAAGATCTTTTCCTCAGCAATGTGCAGGCCATTTTGTTATTCTGAAATACAGTCCCAACTGGAAAGCTAATTAAACTTACCTTTAATTAGCAATTTCAGGATGAGGGGGAGAAGGTGACAATTTTGGGGATGAGGTGAAGGTATCTCTTTCTGAGGGTAATAAATAATGAGTTCATATTGATACTTCCAATTCAAATTTAATAATTCAGAGTTGTTTTTTCTTCTTTGATTTTATACTTGTATTTCCTTTTCTCTTACACTGAAAATTTTGGTTTCAAAATTAACATAATAACATATATACTTTTTTTCCCAATATACAAAAAATGCTTTCAAAGTAACAATCACTCTTGCTACTAACAATAAAACTACAGGATTTAAAGTTTCTTCATAGTTCTTTTTGTTCTTGGGATAAATATCATTATTGAAAAATATGTACACAGCCAAGATGCTCATGATGTGAGGGCGTGAGACTCCTAGAAACTAAGACAGTTTGGGTTTATGTTTCCTCTCAGGTTTACCCTAGGGCACACGGCGTGGAGGAACCATTTCCACTACTTAAATTATTTCTGTCTCTTTTTTTTCCTACTGTGTCTATGCAGTTAAATTTGGTTAATGTGAAAATGATACGACTCCACTGTGTTGTGTATAGACTTGAGGCAAAATGTTAATGTGTATAGCTTTTGAGTACCACTCCTCTGTTCCGACCCCCTGATTTTTGTTTTCTTTATCCACTGCAGAACCAAAGACAAACAGAAGAGTCGTGCTGTTTATTGGATCAGGGCCAGGAAGCCGACCAGTCCAGGCAGCAGGCACTTCTTTCCAAACGGCCACTGTTTGATTTGAGTGTGATTGATCAGCTGTTCAAGGAAATGTCCTATTGCCTGTTTGACTTAAAGGCGTTGTGTAGTATTCTTAATCAGCGTGCTCAGGGCAAGGAGCCTAATCTTTCATTATTACTGGGAATCAGATGTAAGTGGCTGATGGCTTGTCCTTATTGTGTTGCTTAATAATTAGGAACCTGTCTCCATGAATCAGGGACTTCTGATTGCCTTTTCCCCGTTTGTTTTTAATCCCCTTTCCTACTTAGATTTATAAATCTCTGCTTGAGTCTGTGGGTCTCTGAATACCTGTTATTACTTCATTATTAGAACTTAATTATACTTACAGAAGTGAGCAGGGTCATAGCTGATGGACTGCCTCCGGCTGTGCCTGCGTGGATGAGCTGTGCTGAATCTGTGAATATGTGACTAGAGTGTAGTTAGGTGTGATTTCCTGATTGCTCTTCTAGAAGTAATGGTTCTCTTGGCTTTCATGTGGTAATTGTATAAATTAATGACCCAGCCACCTGTCCACTGGTAAAATATTTGAGAAAAAATACTCACTTGCTTTCCTGTGCAGTGTTTGTTCTATGGCAATTGCTTAATGTAACTGCCAATGCTGTCACATGAGCCAGTTTTCATGGCCCGTAGATCTGTTGCCCTCGTCATACGTGCCTGCTGGCTTTGTCCTTCTCAGTATGAACCCACCGATTCTGCCTCAGTTCTGCTTCTTCCACACACAGTTGTGAGAGCTGCCACAGGAATGTCCTAATTTCCCTTCCCTCAGCTACTTTTGTAGGAATACTCATCTCTGCACATGGATCTGAATTGTAATATTGACATGTTGGTCTCTTTTTACTACAGAAGAAATGGACTTTAGTCAGGAGATATGCAATAAGACCACAAGGTTTATGCACCAACATGTTCTATTGGGTAATTGTCTAATAATATGGTTAATATGTGACTAGAGTGAGGACTAGTTTTGTTTCCAGTTTCATCAAAAAGATTCCACCATCTTGCATCATAATAGTTATTTTAGCAAACCAAATACTACTCTTGATCATACTCTATCACTTGTTAAGTGAAACATGTAACTGTGCTCGGAGATGTCAGTAGAATTTCCCTTTCCACTTCATAGCTGTGTGTACACATATATGAGTGTGGACATGTAACAAACATTTCAAAGTTTAAGTATATTCACTCTCTTAGGAAATATTTATTTCCTGGCCTTCGATAGTCCAGGCACTAAGGTGCTGATAATGCAGATAAATTGAACACAGCCTTTGCCTGCACATTAACCAAATTGTTTGAGCATTGCAATAAGTACTGTAATGGAGATGTGGAAAGAAGACAGCAGGAACACAAGGGAAACACCAACCAAATCTACCTAGGAAGGGCTGTGAGGCTCCATGGAGGAGCTGGGCTTGGGCTTGAATCCTAGAGGAGGAGGAGAAGTGTGCCAGGTGAACGTGGGTGGTTTAGTTAGCAGTGACCTCTTGGATCAAGAAGCAAAAGCTCACACACAACAACTCATTTTCTCCGCCATTTTAGAGCTGGTCACCCGTTCAGTTATTTTGTAACCTTCTGCATTTGCCCTATCCTATATAGTATTTGTTAACTTTTTCAGTAAGAGGAGAAGAGAGCTATTTGAATATGAATAAAAGGAAGATTCACGACCCTTTCCACATTCACCTCCCAACGTATGCTCCTTCCAGTCTTTAAAGTCTAACCCCAGAATGCTTACCTTATAGTTGGACATTGTGAAAACTTGACCAGCCAGCTAATTTGTCAAAAACCAGTGGTTCTTTGAATCCTTATCTCATCACTTCATCAATTTTCTGTTGATACGGGTCACCCTACCCTTCTTAAAACTCTCTGCTACCATGGTTTCCATGCTGACACTCTGTAGGTTCTGCTTCTACCTTTGTGACTGCTCAGTCTCAATCTTCTGTGAAATTCTCTGCCAGTTAAATATTGATGTCCCTCAGAAGCCTTAGCAAAATTTTAAGAGGACCAGGTAGATAAAATCTATTTAATATTGTATGATTCATGCTTTAAACCTGACCCTGACTGGTATTCAGTGTACAGAGTTGTATTTCCACTGATAATTAAGTCGAAAATCCTAAAATGCCTTTGTTCAAAAAAGGTGAGACATTCTCTCCATATTTTATTTCCACAGCAATGAACTGTTCAGTTGAAGAGACTGAGAATGACCACAGCCCAGAAACACTCACTAAAAAACTATCAGATGTATGCCAGTTACGGAGGGACATTGATGAATTAAGGACTACAATATCAGACCGCTATGCTCAGGACATGGGAGACAGCTGCGTTACCCAATGATGGAGTGTTGATCCCGCAGCAATAATGACCCGTTGCTAAATGCTGCTGTGTTATAGTTCTTCCTGTTTCTTTTTAGGAGCCACGATGGAAAGTTGCTAGTGACGTATGACTTGCACATGGGATTTTTTTTTCTGTACATTTGTTTTGTTAGGGGAGAAGGGGAATAGGATATTTCAAAGGGGCTTGTCTAATTAGGCCAAAAAATTGAATTACCATTTGAAACGTGATAGAGTGTATAAGAAAAAAAAAATTCTGTATTCTCAAACTACTGACTGTAGGACCAAGCTGTGAAGAATCCCCTTCAGATAAAGGGGTAAGATTTCTTTTTATCCTGTAGTTTGTGTGTGTGTGCGTGTGTTTATTCACAAAATTATAAGGATTTCTAGGATCAAAGCACAGCTTCTGAGAAAGGCACACGCTGTTTATTCTTGTATTTCTTTGCTTTCATGTAGAAGCTTGTGTTGTACTTGGGGTTTTCAAGGGCTGGCCGAACAAGAGTTCCAACAGCAGGCAGGTGTGCTAATAGAGGTACAGCAGGCAAGACCATTTGTGTTTTGAAGAACCACTGTGCTGAGATGATGAGGTGTGGGATTGGGCTGATTTTAGGACTGTGGATAGGGCAGCTGTTTCTCCAGAGTGATTGTGAATTGCCTTAGAGGTGTGGAGTTTGGATGTGATGATGTCTTTTATATATTATAAAACAATTTAACACAATTTGAACTAATTTTAACGTGTCCCTGACTATTTACAACTTTTTGCTTATATATATCAATGTAAACAAAGCCATGTGTAATTCATGCAAACCTTCTAAGGTCTCCAGTCATTGTTGTAAAAGAAAAATTGACAAAGTGACTCTGGAACAATACCTTATTTATCCAGATCTCAAACGTTTACATGTTAACAGTTTTGTGTTTGTTTTAAAGTTGAAACTACTTTAAGAAAAGTATTCTTAAATCTGTATTCTTTATATCTGAATTATCACTAGCATAAAACAAAATCTAAGCCAGGTGATATTTTGATTCCTTTTATTAGGTGAAATACACTACAAACAGGGTTTTTTATAGAATACAAGCTTGGCCAGGGTAGTTCTCCTGGAGTACAGAGTATCACTACGAAATGCAACTGATTCTTAAGTAGACGTACAATCGTTTCAACTTCAAATGAGTATTTCCTTGTTTTAGTTGGTATTTTGGAAGGACTTTATATTTTTATTGCCTCAGGAGCATTCATTACATTCTTTTGAGTGTACTTAGTTATGGTAATCATTGTCCTTTACAGATTGGTTTGTTTTCTTGATGCAACCAAGTCTCATTTAGGTCAAGATTGAATAAGAGGTAGAAGGAATAGGGAGTGTGAATCAAGCAGGATATTATTGTTTTGGGCAAGAGAAGATCACATGTCTGTTTTCTTGCCAGGCTTATATACTGGTATAAAGGCTGCTCTTAGAAAAGATTTTTCTTAAAGATTTTCCACAGTGAAAACATGTGGGATAAGGCCTTCAAGGAACCTACCCAGGAAGACATTCACTTCAGAACTGGGCTTGTGTACAGCGCTCGCTAAGTTATTCCGTAGTTCTCTTTCAGCAGTCGGTTAGAATACATCGTAAGGACATGAAACTTTGCTTCTGCTCAGTGCCTGAGTCCTCCCTGCTCCTCCTACTTCTGAGGATCTGGGCACTAAGAAATCAGTGCATTGTAGTGATTCCGCATCTCAAGGGCCCTCACCTCATCAGGAGGGACTTGATCCCTGGTAGGAATTTGGCTTTCTAATGAGTTCATTTGTTTTTTAATGTCGATGGTTTGAAGACAATCAAGGAGCAGTAAATTTGTACCAAAAATCTGATGCAAAGAATTCTGCCTTGTAAAAATTAATTATCTGTAAAAATGGCCCTTTACAGTGAAGTAGATAATAGCATCTAAAAGAGATAAGCCATAAGGGCAACGCACATTTTTACATTCTCTTTGAATAGACTCTCCTCCCCAAATGCCAACCTCCCCAATTTTGGAAATAAAGGCACCCTAAAATGATGGTACTAATGGGCAAATAATCACTGATTTGGATCACTACGTTCTTACTTAAATATCTCCTAGGTTGTTAGTATATGTTTTGGGGTTTTATGGTTATTATTGTTGCTTTAAAGAAACTTTTGGTCATTTGTTTTAATCAACTGTAAGTACAGTTTTGTTTTCTGAGTTAGTTGGGATAAAATTTGATTTTTTAATGTTAGTTTTCAAAAACTTACAGAATTTGACCTAATTCAAGTATCTTGAGGTAAAAATTTTTTAACTTAGGAAATTAACAAACTACTGCTGATGTATTTCAGTTGCTGCAATGTATACTCCCCATAAAAAAGAGAATTAAGGTGTGATAGTTTAAGTATAACCGTGGATTACAAAATGTGATCTCTGGAGTCTGGAGTTTGTGAAAGGACCTAGCCTTGGAGCGTTGTCCATTTCTAGGGGAAATGAAACTAGTAGTATTCTAATTTGTCAATATTGAATTTTGATTTTTCAGAAAATGGCCCCTCCCAAGACAACGTCTTGTGTTAGGACATAATAATGTTGGTATCTCATTGAAAACAAAGATTTTACTGTTAGGCCAAATAAGATGGGCAAATATAGACACTGTAGTGTGTTGTCCTAGTTTGAACTAGTTTGTTCTTGAAAGTTATTACAGTGATATATGTCCAAGATGAAAATTAACCGAAATTTTAAAATAAATCTATTTGAAAATTTCCTTAGAGATGAAAACTCTTTGATGATGCTTTTGTGAATAAAATCCTTGTCTTCTTAGGAAGTACCTCATGCAGCATTAGCGTTGATTAGTGGTCTTCTGGGTTTTGAAGTTGAGCTTATTTGGCCTCAGTCACATTCAAGCAGGGATAAAGTAACAGTTGTCTCAATGAAAGACCCAAATCACCTGTGCAGATAAAAGTAACTGAATCAGAGGCACAATAGTAGTGGTCTTTTCATGTGATGTTAGAAAACAATGATGACTTTTATTAAACTGTTAGTAAATTTTCAGTGGCCTCTAATTTTCAAAAGCTTAAGTATTGACTGGGTAAGTCATGCCTGAATTTTGTTTTTCATTTTTTAAAATAAGTGTGGCCCCTTTTTCTGTTTGAAATAGGATTCAACATTTAATGTTAACAGTATTTTATTTTAGTGAAGTTTATTTTGGTCATGACAATTTATTAGACTTCTTTCAGTAGCTTGTTAGAGACAATCTCGAGGGCTGGAAAGTGTTGCTAATATAGATATTGTACATTTCTGACTTGGTGATGAGCTTATAAGTTAATTTTGTCATAGTTCAAGACTTACCAATAGGAATCTGTTAAAGGATATTTTTAAAGGAACTTCTTTATTGTGAAAATGTTCTTTCAATGCCAGTAATAGTTCATTGAATATCATAGCAGCTGAGAACTTGGACTGTATTTTTATATAGCATAGTTCAGCTCAAGCGTATCTTTAGTTTGGATTATCAGCATTCTCTTATGTAGACTTCTATCATTGTAGATATGTAATTACAGTAATAAGCAATTCTCATAACCATGCTCACTCAGACTGTGTCATTTGAAACTGCCAGTAGCTATAGCTCTTAGAGACAAAGTTAATTCATTTCATTTCCATTTTTGACAGTTCTTTTCAGTGTTCACAAAACAAGAAAAGCTATTTCCTATTTGGTATAAAGAATATAATTTCCAGCTTCACCCGAGAATGCCATGGTGGTATATTGCTATATGACAGTGTTATGCATTTAATCATGAGGGGGGAAAGATTTTGGATTTTTGGATTTTTTCTTATTTAAAAGAAGTATTGAGTATATTAAGAATGTAGTTTCAAATCAATAAGTCATTAACAACACTGTTTCAGCTGCACACAGAGAGAACCTTCTGTGCCTTTTTGCCTGCAGTAAGCGTTCATTTCTATTTTACAGGAGCTGTAAGAATGTTGATGATGATTATTGCACCTTGTTCTTCTGTATATAGACTTGATTAAGTATTGTTTTTTTTAAGCAAGGAGCAGTTCTTTATTACTAGGTAGAGACCCTAGTAAACATGAGAGGAGCTATCATATGTCCTTGGAGCCCAGCCTCTTGCCCAGAGAGTGAGCGGGGCACTCCTCTGGAATGTTGTCGTTTGTGTGTATGTGTGTACATATGTGTATAAATAGTTATTTAAATACGTAAATATAAAATCCGGCATCACATTGGTGTGATGACAAGAAGTAGTCAGGTGCTAGGTGGTTACATTAAAAGCACAGCAGAGAGTATAATCAGTCACCACGACTGGTGGTTTTGTAAACTAGGTTCAGTTTTTGAACCACCCAGAATACCTCATGTGTAAATACAGCGGTCATGACTCAATTGAAATACCGTTATTGTGAAAAGAATGTGAAGCCACTGGTTGGCTTATGCCTTCTGATCTATCATTCTTGCCTCTTTTTTTGTAAAGGGGTTGGTTTTTTGGTTTTGTTTTTTAATAGGATTTACAGCTAGAATTTTGAATGCCAAAGTTCTATTTATTAAATAAAAAGTTTTCAATGTTAATGGCTAAGTATTTTTCCACTGGACTATTGTTTGTTGATGTTGGAATTTGTATTTACAGAGAAATAAATTTTTTATAAAAAAGATTTATGTCTTCCAAGTGCCTCACGTTAATATAAGAATGTATTTTAAATTTCAGACTCTCCTGAATTCTCAGTGATGAGAATATGCTGACTTGATACTTAGGTAAAAGCTTTCTATAAATACACAAGAGAATCTTTGACTACAACATGGAGACTTCTGCTTTAAGTCTGATTTAGAATGTCTTTCGAGTTACTGAAAAGCTTTTTCTCCGGGTCTTCTCATGAAGGGCACTGAGATTTTCCTTTGGCAGGTGCTGTAAATGCAAAGCATGCCTGTATCCATTTCAGCTAATAGAGTTCTGTCCACCTTTAGAATTTCTAAAATCCCCATTTAAATCAAGAGTCTTCTTTCTACTTTTCCAACAGACAAAATCCGATTTCAGTTTTCCATAATGCTGAAAGATTGGGCTGGCAAGTCAAATCTTTTTCATTTTGCACCTTCTAATTGAAGATTGAAACCTTACTGAAACAAATACAATACAGCATTGTTAAAAGGTTGCTTATGCAGAGGCCTTGACATTTCAGCTTTGATGGTTTGCCAGCCTGGGCCCAGAGATGCCCTGGGGATGGCACCCTGGGTCCTGTTCCAACCCAAATAGGCTATAGCCTCAAGGTCTCCAGGAAGTTGGTTAAATATTTGGATTACCGGTATCTGTTTCCAGTCCAGCTAACTTGGCATTGCTCTTTCAAGAGTCTTTAATGAGGCACCTAATTCAGTTAACAGAAAGACCACTTTGAAAATCATGCATCACAGACAGCTTAGCTTTGCAAGCATATGTCTGAGAGATACAGCAGAATGGGTAAAATCCTAGAAATTTCTAAGGTTATTAGTGAAGAGATTTCTCCTTCAAAATGAAAGATATGGTTATTTTTGATCTGGTTAACAAACTTGATGGGAGAGTGAATAAAGAGCTTTCGATAGGGTCCATCCCAGGGATTTGGCCAAAGTTTGAGCTGATTTTTATGCCAACTTCCCCAACAAAGCAGAATCGTTCTGTGTAGAAATGCAGATTCAGTTAGAAAGAGGTGTGAGACGTTAGTAACGGCACACAGTGGCGGCGTGTGGGTCCAGTTGAGCGAACACTTTATAAATGAATAGCACTCTAGTATGTCAATGAAGACATCCTCCTTGATTTAGAGGACATTCCAGTTTGAGGACTCAAATTATGATACAGTGTTTCTAAAATGTTTGAATAAAACTGCCGTCCCTGGCAAAACTTTGGTGTGATCACAAAAAGAAAAATCCTTCCATTTTAGCCAACTTGTTTTCACTTAAAGACGCTCCCACTTCACAGTCTCTATTGACTCCCTCATAACAGAAATTTTAAGTTAAACAGATACCTACCCTGTAACCCAGAAATTTCACAGTAGATGTTTGAGATAAATATAAACCTACACCTAGAAAGAGTCTTGTAGATGAATGTTCATAGCAGTTTTATTCATAGTAACCCCAAGCTGGAAATGGTCCAGGGATCTGTCAGTAAGAGTTCTCTCCCCAGAGTTGAACAGCAGCATTCTTTTACAGTCTTGGGTTCTAATTGATTGTCACTTAATATTCCGTATACTTTTTGGAAAATGGAGTAAAGTTTAATAAACAACAAGGCAGTGGAGAGTCAGAGTTGGAATGCAGACCTCCTGTTGACTTTTGTTTATACTTCTCTCTGGAGTATTGTCCTTTGTCATGCTGCCACATATATTCTGTGAGTGTCCACAATTCATGTGAAGTACTTGGTCTCACCCTTCCTTTGTGCCACTGCTTGTGTTTGGGGACTGGTCTCCCACCAGACTTTGAGCTCTTTTAAAACAGGCTACTTCTCTTATTAAACTTTGTGTTTAGTGAGCAGCTAGGTGATACTACCCTCCAGAGATGTGCACATATCTGTCCTTAGCCCCAGGAAGGAAGAACTCCATTTCCAAGGAGAAAATGTGGTCTTTAAAGCATAGGTCACCCTATCAGGGTGTGGAGCTCTTAATGGAAGGGGGATAAGGTGATGATAAATCCTACTTAGGCAGGTTCCATTTTCCTCCATCTCTTAGATCTCTTGTTAATCTCTCCTGTGACTACTCTTTCTGCTCTTCTGTGGGTCCAGGCCACAGGACTGGACACAGGTCTTCCCAGCCTCGGTGCTCCTGGAGCATAGCAGTCTCATGAGGCTTCAGGCCAGCTGTGTAGGTTTTGTAAGGGCAAATCCAAGGTTTAGCTTAAAACAGCAACAAAATATCAACTGAAAAAATGAATGCAGTTGCATCTAACTTTAAGTTTGAGAATACATATGTATACACCAATCTGGAGAATAATAATTTAAACAGAAATAGTACAGCTGGCATCCTTCTAAAGAAGGAAGCAAGGTAATTTAATTTACATTTTTTATTCCTATACTGATCATTTAGTCGTAAAACAAGTGCTTAAAGTTGTTTAACAGTCCACGATGACTAAAAAAACTGCACAGGAGGTGTGTCTTCTGAATGTATCATCATCGTCAACCAACGTTTGAGCACATGCCAACCACACACAAGGACCTTGCATAGATTATCCCATTTATTCCCCTATATAGTACTCTATGAAATAGGTGCTGTTGCTATCCCTACTTCAGACAAAGAGCTTGAGGCACAGAGAAGTTTAATATCTTACCCAAGTTGGAACAGCTTATAAGAGGCAGTGCTACAATAAGAGCCAGGCCTCTTTGACTCCAAAGCCTGACTCTGAACTGCTCACCAGCCCTCCTCCTACCGCAGTTTTGTGGTCGAAATTAAACAACTCCTCCTTCCTAAATCTGCTTCCTCATTGGGCTTCTCCATTCCATAAGTTTCACCTTCATTCCAAGAATCCTTTCTGGTAATTTCTTGCCCACAATTCACTTTCATATTCGTTTCCTGTTGCTTCTGTCACCAATTACCACAAACTTGTTAGTTTATAACAACACAATTATCTGACAGTTCTGGAGGTCAGAAATCCAAAGGGGGTCTCACTGGGCTAAAATTGAGGTGTTGCCAGGTCTGTGTTCCTTTCTGGAGGCTCTATGGGAGAATGTCTTTCTTTGCTTTTTCCAGCTTCTACAGGTTATTACATCCCTTGGTCCCATTATTCTCTCTTCAAAACCACCAATGCCAGGCTGAGTTGCTCATACATTGTCTTTGGTTCTCTTCTGCCTCCCTCTTCCACTTTTAAGAACCCCTACGATTACGCTGGGCCTACCAAGATAATCCAGGAAAATCTCCGTATTCTAAGGCCAGCTGATTAGCCATCTTAGCTCTATCTGCAACCTTAATTCCTCTTTGCTATGTAATCTAACATATTCATAGGTTCCAGGGATTATGTCGTAGACATCTTTGGGGCCATTATTCTACCTTCCACACCAGCTCCTAAACAAATTAGATGTCAAATCTTGAAGATTTTACCTTCCCTGGTTCTTTCACATTTGTCTTAGGTAGTTCATTTCCATTTCCCTTGTTGCATTTGATTAGGCCCAAACGGCTGTAAAACAGATGTCAGATACTTGAGCTTAAAAGAAATTAAATTGGAGCCTCCAAAGTCACCTTTTATGCAATATCATTATTGATTCAGGTATTTGTTTCACTCAAGAAAAGACGTGTAAGACTCCTGACTTAACTTCTTTAAAAAAAAAAGCAGCATTGTCTTTTCAGAGAATTTCTGAATTCTTATAGCATTGATGTTTGTCAATGTCTTATGGAATGTGCCACAATCCAGGTTATTTGATTCTTTTCTCATAATTAGACTCAGGTTAAACATTTTTGGCAAAAATGCTACAAGGGTGATGAGTATTTCTCCATCACATTTGGAAGTTCATAACAGTGTGTACCATTATTGGTGATGCTAATTTAGATCATGTGGTTGTGCTAAATGATTACCTTCAATTTAAACAGACAAATGGAGGGCAGTTGAAAAGGCCTGGGTCCGTATAAGGTGGGGAGTTGGAACAAAGACCTTTACCTAAAGCCAGGATCCCCAAAAGATCATATATTAAATTAAAGGAAGAAATGGGAGGAATATCTGCCCTGTAGTGAAAGGAAATTGGTTTTCAAGCACTCAGCTCCAGGCAGGGGGATAAAAAAATGTCCCCTTAAGAATTTGCAACCATAACCCTACATTCATGTAGAGTGAGGTTTGAATTTATGCTACATGTATGGATCAAGAAATCCTATCACCAGAAGTTGACTTAGAGTTCTGGCTTAGTGGCTCCCTGGAATCCTAGATGAAAGAAAATAAATCTTCTCTGGAGGGAAGCATTTTGAATTGAGTCCTCACAGAATTCCCATGGATTTGTCCCTCTGAACATGAGCTCAAAATCCAAAATTTTTAAACATGAGGAAAAAATAAAGTCAGCAGAACCAATAAATAGCAGAGTTAGCCCATAAATGTTTCAGATAATGGAATTATATACTAAAATAGAAATTACTGTATGATTTAAATGTATATAAAGTTTAAAACCTTGCAACACTCATCTCTAAGATAGTGACTAGAAGAGGCACAAAGGAGCTTCTGGGTTTTAGGAGATGTTCTGTTTTTTGATCTTGGTGATGTTTACACAAACGTGTTCACTTTGTGAAAATTCATCAAGCTGTGTCCTTATAATTTGTGTATTTTTCTATATGTATGTATAATTCAATTAAAAATTTATTCTAAAAAGTGAACCCAGAACTTTGGGGGGGAAATCAAATAGAATTTTTATAAATGAAAAATATAACTTAAAAATAGAACAATTAAATAGCATGTTAGATACAAACAAAGAGAGACTTAATGAACTGGAATGTAGTCAAGAAGAAATCGCCCAGAAAAGGAGATTTAGAAACCTGAAGGATATAATGAGATGGTCTAATAAAAAATTTAATTAGAGTTTTCAAAAGGAGAGAATTGAGAAATGGAGAATACAAAATATTTAAAGAGACCATATTTATTTTCCAGGATTAGGAAGTTTTTCAAGACAAAGAAAAACATAAATTTGGAAAGTCATGAAGTTCAGTGAAACTTAAGCCAGAAGAAT